CACATTCAGTTTTATACCATTGATTTGGTTTGATCCATCTCTACACAGTGCAGTCCAGTGTTTAATCATTTCTTAATGCTCATATCCTTCATCTTTAACCTCAATCTAAATACAATTTTATCTATTTAATATGCAGAGTATTTGCTTGCTGAAGCAGTTCCACCAATCGGAGTACTTTCTTCTTAAACCCATCAATAACAAGACTTCCCAGATGAGACTTGACCATCAGATTAATTCAAACACTCTTACACTTTTCCTCGACTCTAAATAAATTTGTTGTAAGCGTGCTCTTTTGAGGCTTAGTTCTAATACAAGAGACTATTGCTCACCTTCAAAAGACCAAAAACAACAAATGTCAGAAAAAGTCTCACCAGGTGAATCCAGTCAATTTAACCTCTAAACAACTGTTTTTAAAGTCAGTTAGGAAAGCAATGAAACTTTTACGACAAAAAATAATAAGTGATTAGTTATCCCATCTTAAGAACATTCATTCTCTGTTTAATTGTCAAAAATCAGTCAGCTGATCTTCATCTGAACAACGCTGTTCAATAAGAATTTTGTTGGGTTGTTTGTTTTTTGATGGAAGATATTCAGGTAATCAGTCATCTGCAGTTTGTGTGGAGTTTCATTGGATCATTGAGTGTTTTCTGTGTTGTCCAGAATGGTTTACATTTAGGTTATTGTCCCAGGCCACCTCTGAAGGTCATCTGATCAACACTATCTTCAGTCTCGAGAGTGTTCACACCTGTAGTTAAATCAATTTAAGTGTGGCCAAGTCATCCAGGACAGTGTCAGGTCTGAACAGGGCTTTGCAGACTAGAAAACTTCATCTTTTTTTTTTCCTTTTTGTTTTTGAGTTGTTCTTTCAGTTTCAATGTTTATGTGTGAAATGGGGTTATGGGTTAAGAAGGTTTTGGCAAACTGATTAACTCAGAAAAAGAGTGGGACTTATTTCAGGCTGTGCTTGATTTGGATGGGTAACTGAGGATACTCAGTGGAAGGAACATTTTGAGGATCTACTTAATCTGGCCACCATTTCTAACTTTGAAGATGCACAGTCTGAGAATTCTTGGGGAAGATAAATCCACCACCACGGTAAAGGTCATCGTGGTATTTCAGAACATCCTTGGCGGCAGTAGTGGATGATGTTCGCCCAGAGAAGCTGAAGGCTCTGCACATTCTATGATTGACACACCTCTTTACTGTCCCATGGAGAACCAAAGCAGTGTGCTTCAGGTTGTTGAAAGGAATGTCTGGCTGACTGAAGAACCTCCAATTCAGGAGTGGTAGTGTGGCTTTTATCCTGGTCATGGAGCAGTGGATCAGAACTTTAACCTTGCAGAGTTGCTAAGAGGATCATGGAAAATCGACAGCCCAGTCCACATGTGTTTTATAGGCCAGGAGAAGGTTTGTGACCATGTTCCTTTGGGCATTTTGTGTGAGGGTGCGACAGGAATATGAGGTATTAAGGGCTATAGTTCCTATATAATCAAAGCAAGAGCTATGTCTGAATTCTTGGCAAAAAGTTGAGCTTGTTCTTACTACAGGTTGAATTTTACCAGGGTTGCGCTTTGTCTGCAATCTTTGTGCAGTGTTAAGAGATTGGACCCCAACTATAAATAATACTTAAATAATATCTAGCTGATAACTATTTGAACCATGCAGGTGGATTTTCAATTAAATTTTAGATAAAGAAGATTGAAATACCATTGTTCTAGAGTAGGGGTGTCAAACTCACTTACAAAAGGGGGCCAAAATTAAAACATTTTTCAAACTAAGGGCCCATTTCAGAAACTACATTAACTCAAATCAGATACCCAACACCTTTTCTTGGTCACAGGTTCCTCAACAAGAGTTTGATTGGTCTTATTTGATGTTCTCTGTTGTGCTTTCAATGTCATAATCAAAGATTACTGAAAAAGTTCAAGAGATAGAAGTATTTTACATTTCACATATCATCTTGGGGGCCAGATAAGATGTCAACAAGGGCCGCATTTGGCCCCCGGGCCTTGAGTTTGACACATGTTCTAGAGAATAAAATGACATGGCATGGCCTTTAATTACAGTGGGGTTGAAGGTTGTTCCATACTGAATCAACACCCTTTGTGCTATATTCGGTCCAAGACAGGTGAGTTTATACTTTACACCAGTGGAAAAGACTAACTTGCATAATAATTTGACATAAATTTTATGTTGTAAAGAGAATCAAGTTCCTTCACCTTAGTCTCTGAAAAGTAGCTCTCTTTCTGCACTCAAGCCAAGAGAGTTTAAAAAAAGGCTAGCTGGTAATGCTGAAATGGCAGGAATGGAGAGACAGTGGTAGCACTCAGCTGTAGCACAGTCTGGCACAACATTAACAAAGGAAATGAGCAAACCACACAGCAAATAACAGGCTTTTATTCAACACTCCGGGGCCCCAGAGCTTACATCTTGGTGCCAACACCAGTCACTTACAAATAAACACATTTATGAGAAATATTACACACCAATTACTACAGTTGCCTACAAGACAGAATTTTAGTATTGCTTACATTGGCACAAAAAACTTTAAGATTTATTCTGAATGGGTGCATTCAAACGTGTCAGACATTTACAGTTCCTAAATTTGTCCTTCAAAGTAAAAAAAAATAAAAAATCGGCAAATACATTTTTTCAATGTATTAAACTTTACATTTGGAATAAACCAAAAATGATACACTTATTTTACATATTTATGTAGGATAAACATGATATTTCACAGTTGTGAAAGACGGGATTCAGGAGAGGAGTTAAAAGGAAGATAAATTATAGTAAAAATTCTACTTTTAAAATTATCTTGAAATTAATAATAATTTAGAGAATGTTTAACTCATTTTGTGCTAAGTAGTAATATAACCTTCTAAACAAAACATTATTTTTCAGTGATTCTATTTTGTTTTTTAAAACTTAATTTTAAGTGTGTTATACTCCTGCTCAAGCTGAAGAACTCTGTTTCCTGACCTATTATGCTGCTGTAAGCATAGACTACTGGAGGTCAAATTTACCACATTTCATGAAATGAATGGTTTGTAATTATTTCTGTCTTAATGTGGTGTTATTTTTTTTGTCTTTCCTCCTAGTGAGGGACCTGCTCGACTACATTCTGGACCTGCCATTCTGTGTCTGTGTCTCCTTCCTGTCCTCTCAAACCCAGCCGGTCGAAGCAGATGGCTGCTTGTTCTGAGCCTGGTTTTTCCGGAGGTTTCTTCCTGTTATGAGGGAGTTTTTCATTTCCACTGTTGCTTTTGTGCTAGCTCAGGATGGGAGACTGTGATGAAATGAAGACAACACAATCAGCTGGCTTCATTCTAATCAATTCAATTCAGTTTATTTATATAGCGCCAAGTCACAACATCTCAGGGCACTGAACAGGAACATTCATATATATAAATAAGTTAACACTATTTACTGTAATTTCTGGACTCTTGAATGCACCTGAATATAAGCAGCGCCCACTAAGTTTAAAAAGAAAATTAAAATTTTACATAAATAGGCCACACTTATCTATAAGCCACGGGTGTTCACGTTGTAACATGAGATATCTGTAAGAAAGTTTTTTTTTGTTACTTTTAATTAAATACATACCGGTAGCGCACAAATACAGTAAATATTTTTTTCTGAACAGTGCCTGTAACACGGCTGATTTAAAAAAATACAGTAGTCTACCAGGGAATCAATGATCGCTACCCCCAAGAGATGTGTATTGGGCAGCTATATGAGCACTTGGGTGTGACGAAACTAAATGTTTTGGTGGCATGAAGCTCATTAGCCCATCAAAAACAAATAATCCATAAATGAGCCGCAGCATTGTATAAGCCGCGGTGTTCAAAGTGTGTGAAAAAGTAGCCGCTTATAGTCTGAAAATTACGGTATCTGATTTGAATTTAACTTCATCGCAGAACTCTCAACTTGTGCAAGCATGAAGGCAACAGTGGAAATGAAAAACTCCCTCATGATGAAGAAACCTTTAGCAGAACCAGGCTCAGCACAAGTGACCATCTGCTTTGACTGGATAACTTTACTAATTGGCATTTATAATGTATGTGAATGTTTTTGTGCAGTGCTCTAAGATAACTTCTGTTGCAACTTGGCACTATAAAAATAAACTCAGTTAAATAAGACAGTTCCAAATCCCTTTGCTACTGCAGTGTTGTGTCATGTACTGATGGAGGAGAAGGACAAAAAGTTTCCAGATGTTCTCTGAGTCAGTGAAGATAGCAGCATGACGACAATTAAGTCTAAAGGTCTACCTCAATCCAAGGAGTTGGATTGTGGAATGGTCTAGAGAGTGATGTGAAAAATGCCAAGTCAATGTGTACATTTAAGAAAAAGATCAAAGCTGGATTGTTAAAAAAAATATATATGAAGTAGCTTAGTGTGTTTTGTATTAGAATTGGAAAAATTAGAAAGAGTTATTCATTTTGTTCTGTTACTTGAAAATTATTATAATTGAAATAATTGTTTGAAAAAAGGGGCAGATATAATAAGATTTTTTTTCTTCTTTCTGCTGCCTTTCATTTTAAATCTTTTGTATCTTTTTTATATTGTTATGGAATTGTTTTGTACTTTTTTTTAAATGAATCAACTTTATACCATACCATACCAAATCCTACTCTGAGTGATTTAGTGGCATTTGTTAAAGTAAATTTTTCCATAAGAGACTCTTGCTCCGTTTGTGCTTGATTGTTTGGAAATCGTTCATTGATTGTATGAACATTTTCATCTTAAATTTAACTGCAAACAAACAAAAACATAATAAATTTTTCGATTGATTATATTAAGTGACAAGCTTTTACAGAATAAATGCTAAAATAAGTTTCCAAAATCCACAGATCTCGTTCTGATTATACTGATACTGACAGTATAAAAGTAAAAGGACAATAAAATAGATGTTTAATAAATATAGTGCGTTTTAAGCATCTTTGAGGAAAACTCAAAGATCGTGCGGGAACGGAGTGTCGCCGAACAATGACGTCACGCACGGTGACGTGTCAGTTTGTTTACCGTGTCGCGTTGCAGCTGCACACAGAAACATGGCCGTAGATATAACTTTACTTTTTAAAGCCAGCGTTAAGACTGTCAAAACCAGGAACAAGGCTATAGGAATAGGCTTTGACTCCACGAAAGATGAAATTTTTAAGAAAAGCAGAACGAAAAGCGGCTTCTCGTCGAGAGCTAAAGAAGTGGTGAGTGCTTACCAATGAGCTAGCTTTAGCTTAACAACACCTCACTGCTCGTTCAATGACAGCTTAAAATTCAAGCTTCTGTCTTGAAACATACACAGTACACAACAAGAAAAACACGTTTTACTTCCTTTTTTATATTTACTGTAAATAATCAACTGTTTTGAGCCCCCTTTTTTCCCGGGGAAGGCAATTGTGTTAAGCTAAAATCATTTTGCTTAATAAGAAATTATTTTAACAGTAAAAGTACAGTGATGAGTTCAGGATATATTTCACAAGTTTGACAGTTCTAGACGTAAAAATACGTATTACTTATAAAACTTATTCCATGTTGATTAACATTATTCAACAAGATAGTTGGTACATAATATTTGTGGGCAAGTAAAAAAAAAATCTTAACTTTTAAAATAGAAAGTCTTGAATAAAGTATGTAATCATCTTAAAATCACATCTTAATTATCTTCCAGGTACTTAAAAAAAAAGCAAGTGTGAACATACACTTTATTTTAATTACTGGTATATTAGTCATGGGAATATGCAAAATAAATCGTTTGACTCCTAATGCTAAATAATAGTTTGCTTTTGGCGGACAGAGCTGTTGTCTACACACATCCATTACAGTGGGTATATATTGATTATTAGGGAGACATTGCTTTAGATTAAAACTCTATATTTAGTCAGAGTCAGAGTTTCTTTATTGTCATTCGCACCTCATGTGGTACATGTGGTGGAGCGAAATTATGTACACGGGGTCCCAGTTACATCCAACAATAAAATGTACAAGAAAAACAGTAATAACATCTAAGATATGAACTAAGAAAAACATCAACTAAATATACACTAAGCACTCATAACATAAAACATTGAACATCAGCACAAACATGAACATGAGTCTGTGAGCAGATGAGCATGCATGAACACATCAACATTGAAACAGATCAGCAGCAACATGAAACAGATCAGCAGCAACATGATATGGTTTTTCACAGTGATTATTCTAGTTAGAGATTCATGAGTCTAACAGCCTCAGGGTAGAAGCTGTTCCTCAGTCTAGTGATTCTACACTTAATGCTCCTTAACCTCCTTCCTGAGGGGAGTGGGGCAAAAAGTGTGTGTGCTGGGTGAGTGGGGTCCTTCATGATGCAGGTGGCCCTCTTCCTGCATCTGGAGGTGTAGATGTCTGTGATGTCTGTGATGTCTTATTTAGGCTTATTTACTACAAAAATTGTGCAACAGCTGTAAGAGCTGGTGACATATATTCAGTAACAGCCATATGATATGCATAGCACTTTAACTTATATTAAATGAAAAGTGTTAAATGTTATTTATTAGCATTTGTCACCTGCGATGCTGTCTCACTTGTGGAGGCTTGTTTCGGGTTCCTAGCTGGAGTGTGGGATCCTCTGCACTAGGGCTGGGCCATATCATATTGTTCACAATAATACCGTTTAAAAAAGCTTGCCCGGGCAAATAAATGATCTCATGATATGCTAATTTCATGATATAATACGTGAAGCGCCCCGCCCCGTTAACAAAACCGAGCACGCCGAACGATAGGAATTTGCGATATGGCATAAAATTCATATCACAATATGTATTGTGAAGGGTGGCGATAACGATATTTATCACAATATGTTTTTAGTATAAAACTTGCATGAAAAAAGAATGAAAAAAGCATATGATGTCCTTTTGCCATCATTTATTTTGAATTAAGAAAATTCCACTACTAGGTCCAGAGAGTTTTTAAATAATAAACAAATCAAGTATTAGGCTGCTTTCTTGTAGTGCAAAACAGTGCAAAAGATATCAATGTAGTTTTAGCCATATGTTTTAAACAAAATAATATGTTGTTAACTCTTAACAGTTTCCAGTCTTCTCACTTAATAAATGAACAGCAACAGAGCAGCATTTTACACTGAAACACTTCACCCTCCAACCCTCTAGTGGGCACCTCCTTCCGCTTTAATGGAGAGCTGACACAAAATGAGTCTGTGGCTCTGACCAGAGGGTCTCGCAGTAAAATCACACAACACAGCGTTCTTTTACAAATCAGAGAGCAGGTTTCTCTAAAGCTGACCAACGCTTACTTTAACTTGCGACGGAAAAAAAACCCAAAAACTTTTGACGGAACACCTCGTTTTGCGCATGCGTCCGAATACGGCAACACTACGGCAAGCCAGCCGTAGTTAGCTTGTAGCTTCGCTACGTAGCTGTCGAAGAAAAGACTTTTAACACCACTTACGCACAGTTTTCAACTAAAAAAAGTAACGATTAAATCTGACAACTCTGATTTTACATCAGACACAGCATTACTGAGGTTAACCAGTAGAAGACAGATCTCTATTGTAGGCTAAATTTCTATAGTTTCTACCGTGTACGTATATATCACGCATTCCTACCGAACGACCAGACCAAACTGCACACACCCCCCTCCACCTGTCAGTACTGGCATAACACTATTTAGTTGCGTGCAATACTAGCTAGCTAAAAAGCTAAAAACAAACAACGCGCGGCTCAGCTGTCTCTCCATCCAGCTCTAAACTGCAGGTACAGACAGCTCAACTGTCTCTCCCTCCCCCACAGCCCGCTCTGGGCTGCCGGTGCGGGTCTCCCCCGCTCTAAACTACCGGTACGAACACGCGCAGGTCTGTCTCGTTCCACAGTCCATGGACCAAGAACAGTCATGTGATCAGAGACAGCGCATCAGAGAAATGAATCATTCCTGCAGGAACAGAGGAAGCTGAGACTCCACAAGCTTCAGGGTCAGCTGATCACCTTGTTACAACTTCTGGAAGTTATAGCTCATTTAAAGGAAACATATATTTTGTTGTATGTTACATTTATGCTCAACAGATCTTAAGCTTCATTTTATTTAATTATTTTGGGAAACTTCACCTGCACTTTAGTTTTTGTGGTGGATTTTGTTGATCTATATTTTGTGCAGACTTTTTCAATCTAAATAACAGAAGGATCCTTTTTATTTTTATACTTTGAGACTGAATGCTTTACCAAATAAAGTAATTTCAGTAAAATTAACCTTTTTTTGTTTGTTTGTTTTTATATAATACTGTAAAGCAACATGTTAAATTAATTATTTTTATTTTTGTTAATCACAAAATTTATCGTTATCGCCAGAATGCTCTGAAATATCACGATATTATATTTGAGCCATATCGCCCACCCCTACTCTGCACTACTGTGCATGAAGGACAGCCTTTTTAAGATCAAAGTTTTTATCCGTCCATTGTGCTGTAAGACTAATCACTAACACGACGTTCAAATGTCTGTGGTAAAACTCACCCAACAAGTCGTGCTATCGGCTATTAGCTTCTCAATGACGCCGGAAATGACGGCTTGTAACTCTGGTAATGTTACGTCGGAAAAATATCTCCCGACTGGGGACGATGTAGCGAGGCTCAACGTAGTCCATAAAAATCTTTGGAATCCGACATCCTCACCAACGAAAAATAAAACTTCCACACCGCCGTTTTGAATTTTCCTCTCCGCCGTGAGATCGGATAGGCGCACGTGATGTCATCACGTTGCGCTGCCACTGCAGGCATAACTGACTTTTTCTTTTTACTTGGTGCTGCAAAAATGAAACAAGATGTGACAACAGAGGGGGACTCTTTAAAAAGGGAAACTCCCTGATCTTTCTTTATACGAACTTCGTCTCTTCTTCGTCTCGTTCTCATAATGATTCAAAATAATCCAAAGATTCTTTGCTACTGTCTCTGTTGTTAGCCCTTGTAGCAATGCTCTATTTACGTTCCTCTTTGTCATCACTTCCTGTTACTGCACATGCAGATACCTCAACAACTGTTCTCAGTGCCATAAAGGTGTTTTATGTAATGTTAGTATTGTTAATTTCTAATAATGCATTCATATTTATTATGAAAATCTGATGTCACTGACACTTTTAACAGTCCAAGCAAATACTTGTTGTTTTGTGTCAGCGACAAAAACTGATCACCTGCTGCGTGTAGAAAGCAGGAATAGCCCAAATATGCCACCGAATAATTGATTAAACTCTGGTTCCTGAACAAGCACATTGGCAACAGTGGTAAGGAAAAACTCCCTTTAAAATTAGAAAATCTAGTTTATCAACCTCCTTGCCATGATGACTTGTAGAAACTTTTCCATATTTAATATATTTTTAAGTTTTAATGGTAGCCTGTATCAGTCAGAAAAAAGTGAAAATATTGTTTATCTGTCCTCAGTTTTTCTACTAGAATACATTTTGTTACTGGTTACTTTAAAGTGAATATCACAACACTTTGTGGTATCAACATTGTAGTGTCCCTTTGTTCTGAAACAGGGTGATTGGTTTTCTACTTCAATAGTACAATAATTAGATGTGTTTGTAGTTATGGTTGCTTAAAAGGAAGAACACCCAAGGACAAAGACAGAAAATAAAACAAGTCATACAGAAATAGAAAAATAATTACAGGCCATGAGTAGTTTGTTGCCGTTACGTCAAATGTGACTATTTTTGTATGTCGGCTTTGAAACACACAGCTCCCTTGTAGAGTGTGTTTACACCTTAGAAGTAAAAACCACTAATTATTCATGCACAAATGCTCGTTTTTTTTTTTTTTTTTTAATTAGTTGAAAAGTCAGTAAATTATTGCCTAACTTGAGATTTCTAAATCAAATTAAGTGGTGCAAAAAAATATTAAAAATACTATACATTCATTGGCATTGGCAAGGTTTTAAATGACTGTTCACATGGAGGTGAATAGCAGTGGAGCTTTTTACAAGATTTATTGTAATCCACTAAAGGCACCATCTTACTGGGCTGTGATTGGTGTCCCAACACTCAGGAAAACTGTAATATAATGTGCAAATTTTCCATTGCAGTCTCACTGAGTCCTGAGTGTTTGTGACTGCATGGCCAGTGAGCCATTTTTGAAAAATCACTGTTTTTGTGTGCATGACTTGGGACAACTGTATTCTTGGCGATGCACATTATTTTGTTATCCACCTCCACACTCACCCTACCA